GCACTGCGTGGCTGCAACCCCTGAGTGGAAGAGACCTTGCCTGCAGAATGTTCAGTGCCAAATCCCTTTCCGAATCAAGCTTTGGGCTCCCTCGACTGCCATGTAGTATTGAATATGATATGCTATGTTCTGTACCGCTATGTTATACTGCTTATTGCTGAATGCTATACTATGTTATACTACATATTGCGACCGGAGGCCGCGAGTTTTCGCCGGTTGAATGGCAAATCCTTCTGGCTTGCATGACAGCCGTTACCTGTAGACATGGACTTTACGTGAAGCAGAACCCGCACACAAAACCCGAACATAGAGCACGGCCCATGTGCTGCCAGGTGGCCAAAGAACAGTGCTGCGCACACTGCCACGAAGCCGATCAGGTTGCACACCCCAATGCCAACCTCACATGCACCGATCTCGATGTATTGCACCATCATTGTGGCGATCACTCTTGTTGTGACTGCTACGTTTACAGGGCAGGTCTGGCTTTACTCCTGCGACGGCAGGCTGTTTCTCGCTGCTACTCGTACTGATGCTGGTATTGTCAGTGCTGCATTGTTTGTGCCAGTGTTTGTGACATGAATCTGGAACAAGTTCGAGTGTTGAGCACTCGTCACACCATTAACAAGATTAGGTGATTAGGTACTCGCTGCAGAAAGAGTCGCAGACGCAGAAATGGCAGCAAGCCATCAGGTGATTGTGCCAACACGAATGCATGATCTGCTAGGGACCGATGCTGCCAGAAACAGCTTCAAGACCGTTGAACCCGATGCACCTCAAGTAGTGGCCACGTGCAGATGCGCAAGCCCAGAAAGCAGCCGTGCATCAACAGCACCTGCCGCAAGGTTGCAAGGAAACTAATACGACGCTTCTGGCCAAAGAAGAATTGGTAGGGACAGGGTGGTCTGATCTGGCTTTCACAAGCAACCCACGACCCGGGCACATCCCCATTTTTCGGGAGCGGATGAGTGGATCTCGCGGCAAGGCGAGCGCCATGTCGCATCGCGTCGCACACCAGGCCTCGGCTGCCTCGGCTGCCGGGATCCATCTCGCTGCGAGGAGCGAAGGAACCGGCGAAGACTTTAAGGATGGCCCAGGGCAAAGGGGAGGTCATCACGATGCCTCTTCCTTTTCCAGTTCACAGTGCAGGTGATGCACAAACTCCTCGGAGCCTTCCGTGCGCAAGAACATGTCGTAGACTAGCTTCCCTTCCTCTGTGAGTTTGTACACGCGCCGCGATCCAGTCGCCAGCTTGCCCCCAGCTGTGGGACCGCGCTGAAAGCAGTCTTCCGTCTCTGCGGCGCACTCGAAGACATTCTGCGTGAAATCGAACTGCCCCGACTTGTAATATTCGTTCACACTGAAGGGGTGGCTCAACATGAGCTCGGCTTTCTTCACCTCCCCCCCGTCAGGCTTGGGCAGAATCTTCAGGAAGCCATTCTCCGCATGCATGGGCTTCAAGGACTCGGCGTTCTTGGTGAACTGCTGCCAGTTGATGACCATGGCAGGCTCGGACCTCAGAAGCAAGCAAGTGAAGGTCTCCAAATATTCCACGCCCCTTGGCAACACTTTGCCTCGTCCCTTCCATGTTCCGAGGAGGAAAGCAGGTCCGGCAGGAAATGCCATGGCTGTGACGTCACGAAGGGCTTTGGCTGCAGCTGTGAGCAGAATAGTCAAACATGCGCGGAGCAGCTGCTGGCGGCAAGTCGTGCGGGCACGGGAGATGTTCATGCAGTTCATGCCATCCTTTCTGCCCCAGTCTGGCCTTGCTCCCGAAATGAGAGAGCATGCTCACCGGATCGGGACAGGAGAGAATCTTCTTCTCGAGGAAGACCAACGGCAACATCTGCACCACAATCCTCAGAGAAGCGCTTGGCAGTTAACGAGACGAGCTGTCCCATGATGCGTTCCCACTGAAGGGAGCCAGGGAGCAAGGAAAGGAAGGTCTTGGTCGGATCACCCCCTTGGTCATCCTGCACTGCCAGTGTCACGTGCTGCCTGCAATTTTCAGCTTGGGCTTACGGCATACGGCACCTGCCAGTGCTTGTAAAGGACCAGCACCGATGCCGTCGCAACGAGGCTCAACGGCAGCATGATGTGGCTCCTGATTATTGTCGACATCACTCGCTGCAACTGCGGAGCAAAAGAGCTCATCACATCACATCACATCATTCATAGTAGAGTATGGAAGCAACAGCAGCAGCGGCAGCGGTAGCAGTCGTAGTCCTAGCAGTAGTAGTTGTCGTGATGGAAATGGCAGTGCCAGTGGCAATAGTAGTGGTGTCAGTGGTCGGAGTTGCATTATTTGTTTGTTCCTGCGGTAGCTGATGTAATTAGAAGACTTACCATCAACACCAACACCACGACCACGACTGCTGCCACACTGTTCCTCATGGCGACTGCCACTGCCACTATGATCGACGACAACGACTACGATTACCTCTTCTGCGACTACTGAGTCTGCTCTTGCTGCTGCCACACGCGCACTATGGAGCGGTGGCTTCTGCTCTGCAGCTACACCCAACATGAAAGTACCAGGGCCCGTGCTGGGAGCCATGAAGGAGCTTCTGAGCCTCCCAAGGGCTTTGGTAAGGTTTGGTTAGGCTGCCTTAGTAAGTATGGTTATAAGTACCTGAATTGGGGTTATAAGCAACTAGGAGCATAGTTACATTTAGTGTTGAATGCCCTTGGACTCGTCTGCTGGATAGCGGCTGGAACAGACGAAGTGACGCGCACTGTGCAGAAAAATGTAAAATGACTTAACTTGCACTACAAGTGGCGAATGGGAAGTGGAAGACATTGACACGCTTCACAGAGCACAACGATTTGGTCTTGGCGATGAACGTTACCTTCCTACGACGCCAGCTTCCATATTCCCCCATTAGTATACAAATATACGAGTCAACGGCACAAATCCTCTGCTAACGACAGGCTTCCTGTTCACGTACTAGGAACACGGTCGCTGTTGTTGAGCTGAAGGGCTAGGCAACTTCTAGATGTGTTGAGACCATAGGGGTGAAATGAAGGTCATCTTCATGCTTTTGCTAGCATCTCCCACACCTTCAACCCTCCGCACGGACGACCCATCGAACCCGTCTGACACTTCAGCCCATCCGCTGCATCCGTGCCTGCCAAAGGCTGTTGGCAAACATCTTTAGAAGTAATAGTTCCTCGGCAGGGAGAGTGTCATCGGAAGCTGCGGTGCACACATTGTCCTCCTCTCTCTGTGCAGACAGCAGGGGGCTACAAGGTCAAACAATCATTGGGCTCGCGACTGCGATCGCCCACTTAGGAAGCTGCTTGCCCAGTGCCGATGCATGAAAGCTTTGTGAACCTGTGCTTACATTGGTACTTAGATTTCGCATATGCGCACACTTTTATATGTGTGAGATGCATATGTGCACACACACAGGCACGTTGTGTGTACTAAGAATACCTACAAAGACATAAACATATCTATCGACCTACCTTCCTAGCTATCTACCTGTCTGTTTATCTATACCCAGCTATACACTCATAATGATACATGCATGTAAATATACGTATCTATGCATTTGAGTGTGCACGTGTCTTTCCGCCCGTAAGAGTAATCACATCTGTCGGTCAGTCGGTCGGGCTGTCTGTCGGTCTGCGTCTGTCTGTGTGTCCGTGTCTCTATCTGCGCGTAAACTTACATTCATCGATGAATGCGGGTGCATATGCGGGCGCGGAATTACGACTTGGTACGTCAGCAGAGTTTTATGCTTGCATGCCAACGTGCGCATGTAGGAAAAGTGTGCATACATCTGTGAGTCTCCGCGCTGTACTTACTATCTTCGCATGTAAACTTACAGACGCAGACAAGTGTGTCATAGTGTGTCCATGTCCACGTACAACATGATGACACAGAAGCTCGCGTTTGTGCGGCAGCGAAAAACAGCTTTAGCAGTAGTGTTTCTGGACTAGTTGTGTGACAATGACAATAACATGCAAAGCCATAAGACATGGTAGACATGTCGAGACTGCGGCAAACACTGATGATACCGCGACCGCAAAGTAGACTGGTGACTGGTGATAGCAACGGTGACATGCATAAAGGTGCCGATGCTGACAGCGCCCAAGCTAGTCGTGGTAATAATCATGACAGTGAGGATTCCAGTGATAATGAATCATAGTTACGGTGGTGGTCCTGATGACGTGGATTGTGGTGATGACGCTTGATGATGACGAAAGTGATAGTTCAACATCAGGAAACCATGCTAGCTAACAGCTGCGTACTTGCAAATTGCCTGCAATAACAGCCAGCCAAGTGCTGCAGCCGCGGCACGCTCCCGCGCTGGGAGAAAATACGCAAGACACGAAAAGGGTGGTTCGCTATCCTTGGCAGCAGTATTTAGACATAGTTTGGGGATTCAGTCAGGAGTCGAGTGGGATTTTCCGTTCGGGGCGAGCAACATGATGCACCAGTGGTCAGGGTTTGATGTCAGATGCTCGACTCGCTGCACAAAGTCCAGTGGCGACCAAGCAGCTTCGATTCACATTGGAAAGAGAGCACTTCCAAACTACGCTTCTAAGCTGAGCCATCGCAACAAAAAGCGTACGGTAGCATGCAACAACCGTAATCGTTCCCCTCGCATGCTACTGTCAGGAAAGGCGGCTTGAAGTCTACGCGAGCACTCGAGATCGAAGGCTCTGTAGGCTGCGAAGCAAGGCTCTTTAAACTGGCCGTGCTTGGCTTCAGATGGGTTGGCGTGCATCCCACGTCCCACGAGGGGACGGAGTGTACATGCGCGGCCGTTTGAGGATACGGGCACTGCAGCTGTGCAATGAAGGCTGGGTCTTCCAGCACTGCTGCAACAGCCAGGCAAGCACCACGATCCAATGCAACCCCGCAAGGAGGATGATCTCTTCAGTGCAGTGCGACTCTCCCGATGTCTCCTTGCGCAAGTAAATTCAGCCGCTGACGTGCCGGATCACAGACACAAGCATCATCAGATGCTAATTACGAATTCTGCCCTTCGCACTCAGGGCGGCAGCGGCCTAACTGCGGCTGAGAGCAAGCGAGCGAAGGAGAGGGGAAGCACTGGAAGAATGAAGCCCAAGCTGTTGCACCACACCAAATTCAAAGGAACTCCTGAAAACGAGCACCGACCCACCTTCGCCTGGCCGCTTCCAAAGCTTCCACCTGGCGCAAATGGACTCTGGAAGACAGCATGCGAGGAAGATCTTCAAGAGACTGGCGATTTTTGGTATTCTTGTTGACCGAGGCCCGGACGCTGGACCGAAACTCGCGTTTCGACATCACTCGCAATGCAGACACCTCGCAACTACTCCCAATAAAGTCCCTGATTGGTCACATTGACTCCAGCTGTCTCGTGCAAGTAGCCTTGCCTGCCACTCATCTCTTTCTCGCATCGTCTCCTTCAGATCCTGCGCATGAACTATTCGTGTCAAATTGCAAAGAAGCAACGACTTGTTGTTTCAGCGCCCAAGCTACATGTAGAAAAATACCCCGGTCTCTCCAAAGTTTCCATGCAAGCCCCCATGCTGCGAAGTGCCGAAACCTCGTATGCCGTGACACCAAATCCAGCACTAAACCTGACGACATAAGCGCGGTCCTTGCGCAAGCCGTCACGCTCCTCTTCGAGGGCCCTCACCTGAGCAACAAGCGGCCTTAGGCCAAACCGCTCCAAAATGCGTCAACCCTGGGACCCTCAAGCCCTTAGCGGATCCAAAGCATTCTCCGGAATCGGAACCTGCTTCTTCAGTTTCTCGATCTCCTCGTCCTGCACGAAGACCTCGCAGGGCTCCAAAGGCGTCCAGTTTCGGTGCGGTCTTTCTGGCCTATACGGACCCTGCTAGGTTTTAGTCGGCTCGGCTCGGTTATCTTGACGAACTTGCCTTAGGGGCATGGTGATGACGGAGGATGAGGCAGAGGACCATGATGATGACGACTGCGATGACGATGGTGACAGTGATGATGGCGATGATACTCGTGATGCTGATGATGACGGTTATGATGACGATAAGGCTCACGATGACGACGGGGACGTCGAGGACGACGGCGAGGACTATGATGATGATGATGATGATGATGGCGCGGATGATGATGGTGACGATTATGATGATGGTGACGATTATGGTGATGGTGATGAAAATGATGCTGAAGATGATGGCTGCGGGAGGGGTCGTACATGGGAAGGTCGTGTTGATGTTCATGATGTGAAGGACAAACATGATGATGATGGCCGTGGCGATGGCGATGATGAAGAAGGAGATAATGAGGACAATGACGATGATGATGATGATGGGAGCAGGAGGAGCAAAACAAACAACAGCACCGAAAGTACCATCAAAGGGACACAGGCTAAGAATGCGAAGATCCAACTAGTGTTCAGTGAAGGCTATGAACTGTTGAGGAGGTAATTACTTTCTAGAACTGCGTGACGTGGTTCATTAAGTCAGCGGTCCTTGTTGAAATCCACGAGACGAAGGCCGTGGGATAAATTTGCACTGTGTCGCCACTATATACTCTATACATCAGGTGCAACGAAGGGTCATCATCCACCAATGCATAGAGGTTGCCAGCACACCCGACTATAAGTCTTCAATCCCCGAAAGGGAGTTGTAAACCACCCTTAACCCGTTTCCCTTCAGCTATAGTTTTCAGCGAGAGGTAGCTTCATGGCATAAGTCTCCCTATTGGAGGTAGCCCGCGAGAGTTTCCGGACTAAGTCAGATGGTGGGGCCAGAGCCGACCACCTGAACCTCTAAACCCCTTGGAGATACAGCAGTCGTGGTGAAAACCTGCCTTGGAATTCCAGGCATCGTGCCGATCTTCGCAGACCTGGTCGGATGTTGTAGGTTTCTTGTGTATTTCTAGTATAGCTACTTACTATAGTATGTTATATTGATTATAAAATTTTACGCTATAGTATTTGATCGTTTTCTCCCGCCCTACCAGTCGAATGTCACAGGGTTTAGGGTGTAGGCATATGAACTGCTACTGATAACAGAAGTACTGGCAATCACCCGCGGAACTTAAACTTTCAAGTCACCTGATAGATCATACCTACTTCATCTGATTATAATCTCAATATATTTAGGACAGTACCTACAGCGCGCGCCTAGCAATCGCGTAAACTATACTGCAATCGGCAATGTCTTGCTGGTAGGCAAGAATGATTGATTGAACAGTACGTACAAAACCACTGACACTACCAATCGTGATATTTATCGAAGCAGCCATACCCATTGCCATCAACAGTTACATAGCTCCAAGCTTGAGCAATATGTAAAAACTCTAAACCCCTACAACCTGATTCCAAGCTTGAGGCGCAGGTCTTCAAAGGCCTAGAAAAGATGTAATCTACATTATATGATACATATATATAATATACATGTATACACTATACATAAGTATCATACAGTATAATATAATACATAGTATATGTATTTCAGAGACTTCCCAGCCGACCTTGAGGTCATCCAGGAACTGCTTCTGCTGAAGGAAGTACCAACCCAGGTCTTGGGGATCCTGCAGAAGTCTGCAAGGTCGCCAGAAGTATTTTTGTAGTGGGTGTGGGGGGGGATTTAACTTGAAGCAACTCCGGAAAGATTCGGGCGCTTTTTTCCATGCAGAGCTGGCCCGCGCACGTTCATCACGTTTACCAGTCGCTTGGGGCACAGACTCTAGCGTACAGAGTCTGCCTTCTGCCGCGAAGCGGCGCTTCCTTCGTTCAAGGAGTACGGTAGGTACCGACGGGGCCTCCTCGTGGTACCGCGTTACGCGGGGCTCACCTCGAAGTCGTGTCAGCCGCCTCCTCATGCCAAGACCATGCTTCATCAGCTCAGCACGTTCTACGTTCTCGAACCATGGGAGCACGTTGCTCAGCACTCGCCGACCGGCTTCACGGCTGCCGGAGCTTTCCAGTCTAGCGCTTGGAGATCGCTTGGAGAGCGCGGAACCGCGAGCTCGTTTCATCGGATGGACTCCAGTCGCCAGCCAGCTGCACCTTCGGAGGACCTCGAGATGAACAGACTCACGCCGGCTGTCATGCCACTCCGCAGACACTTGTAGCAATGGATGGTGTCAAGACAGTCAGGCCTTTCCAACACAAGCTTCTGCGTGTGGAACACCTCGAGGCTGGAGGAGTGCCCTATCGACACGAAGCCCTGCACATGCCTTGGAACGGCACCGATGCGCCAGCATGGACTGCGCATCAACGCCTTACAACCTGCAGCTTCCTACAACAAGCGATGTTGCAGCTGGCTGCCGTTGCAGGTTCTCGTACATGGCTGACTGGTTGGACCGGTCCAATGCCGAGGTCGCCTCGTCAAGAATCGCAAACTTCCTCGGCAGGCCAGGTCCTTCCAAAATCTCTGAAGAGAACAGCAAAACCACCCGCGCATCTAAGGCACAGATTTGGGCGCAGCAGTAGGCGTGCGAAGCCCAAGCGCTGCCGCTCCCCACCAGAAAGGACTGCGTCAAAGTCGACGGGCTTATCCAGGCCTGGCGACCGTCAGCATCTGTGCACGAGGGACGTGAGTAGCTGTGCAGAAGTCGGGTCCTCGCTGTCTGACTCCTCTCTCTCTCTCTGAGGTGAAGGCCATAACGGTCGTGAAGATAATCTAGGTTGACCTTGACCAGAGCTTCCCGTATGGCATCATCTCGCAGGTCGGCCCCACCAGCCTCCTGCCAGGCTTGACATCACTACGTCACTACAGTTGTGGGGAAGGTGGGCTGTAAAAGGAGCTGCTGGACCTGCCTCTGGGTAGGTCGCGTTCTCGCGAAGTGTGCCCAAGCACAGGTACGTTTCTTGGGGCAGGAAGAAGGTCTCTTTCTGCGGGCAGCAGCGGATGACGCCAGTGCCTGCACCCAGCATCATTCGTGTTCAAGTCCCAACAATGGCGGCACGCTCTGCGCAGGTTCAATACAGAAAACTACACCGAAACTGAACCCGAGCAGACGATCGGGCGGTTGCACAGTAACAGCTGGTGCTGTTCGTAACGGTAGTGATCATGCGGGTTGTGGCCGCGGCCAAGCTCCCTCACCCTGTAAGAGGTACACTCCAACCTGTCCCCCACACGACCAGCCGATGTAGCGGATTTACATAGCGATCACAAGAAGCTGCAACTAGCATCTCAGCGCAGCTAGCGCACCTCGCCCCCAGAGTCCTGCGATGCTCCTGAGTAGTGAGCTCTTTCCCACGCCGCTCCGGCCGCACAACAGCAGCGATTCACCTCGCAGGTGGCATCAAAGAGCCCTCGTTCAAAAAGACGACTCTCGTCTCGCCTGAAGCATTGGAAACCTGGTGCCACTCATGTTTAGAACGCCTAGCCTTGTCTCAGCTGGAATGACAAGCGCTCCACTAGCACCGCATGGCCGGACGGCGTCTGAAGCGTCACCTCCTGCATTTGAAGGAGTACCGGCACTTCCTGGGACTCCTGCGCGGCATAGATTTATCACAAAAGTCTAGTAATCAAGCTTAGGCCAGCGCGATATCACGCGTGGCTGCACTGCGATTCTGACGACTGAGACAAGCATACCACCAGTCGGCGGTGACACAGAACCCTGAAGGCACCTACACTGTTACGCTCAACACCACAGACATCCACAGACCACGCCGGGGATCTATTTTTTCTGTCAAACTGGACCTGTTTAGTCACTCGGCCATCGCTTATTATCGCTCCTGCTGCACCCGACCCGTGAAGCACTACAGCATGAATATGTTGGGGATCCTATGCCTCTACACCTTAAGTCTTCATGGCCTTGTCACGTCATGGACATACCGACTCCTCCTTGATACTGCCAGCATCACGCTCCATCGTAATGGCAGGGCTGTCTGCTAAGTCTTTGCTGTCATCGGACACCAGATCCCAAATCTGTTGAATGCGTATAGCCTGCGCGCCCATGTCAGTGATTGAACCTTATTCCCATCACATCATCTCTCCAAGCATGTATGGGGCTTCAGAGCACACGCCATGTCCCAGGACGGGACTCATCTGGGACACAAGAGTCGTGAAGGCATCCTCCAAGCCAGACAGGATCGAAAAGGCCTCCATCATGGCTCCGAAATCGATGTCCCCTTTGAAGTACTTGCCTCAGGGAGTCTTTGCCTGTCTTTCCGGACTGGGCCTGGGAGCCTCCGGCCTGCCAAAACTGCGAAGGGCGCAACTCGCACCACGTAGGTGGCAGCAGCCAAGATGATGGAGAAGCTGACTGTGACGCCCAACATTCCTACAGGCAGCCAACAATCGAACGTGGCGCGGGAACCGTCACAAGATAGCATGGCATGTTGACTTGCTGTTCTGCAGGGAGTCTGTAGAGTGTGTCCATGAGGCTGCTGAAAAACCGGTCTTGGCAGCGTCCACGCTCGAAGCTTTCGCCACCGTAGAAAGCTATAGACTCGGCGTGTTCTCTCACCTCAGACGGAGCAGCTCGCACGTTTGCACCAGACGTTTCTGTGGCCAAGCTATGCAGTCCACGACCCCGGTGCACTCCAAGTGGCCCTCACGAGGCCGAAACGAAACGATGCCTCCTGTGCCAAGATGCGCCGCCTGAGGCGTGTCAGCGGCCCCCCGAACACGACGAAGGTGAGAACGTTCCTGTTTCACCGCAGGACACACACAGGAGCGTGGCAGGGCAGACGACAACTCACAACGCTTATGCAACCAACATGTGCTTCCCCGTCTGATAACTGATCCCTGCTTAGCCAAGGCTCAGCACGATTGAGTACACCACCACGAAGTAAAACAGGTCGGGTGAGATCTTGAACAAAAGCGAGGATTGGAACAGAATCAGCATGATGTTCTGCACGAGGAGGGCCAAGAACTGCAGAATCCTGAGGATCACGAGAATCTCACACTCGGGTAATGTAGAGGGTTGAATAATTTCAATGGGATTTGGAGTTAGGGGGTATATTAAACTATGTTTGAAGACTACAAAGGGATACAACTTGAAATTATTCCGACCACTATATTCTGTCTGGAGTCTGGCTAGGCTTCTACTCTCGTCAAATCAAAGCATCGCATCTTTGCTATCAACATCCTGGTAAACAAAAGGATGCAGTTCCTTTGACCACTGACTATCGCCATTATCTTGCGGCCCAGTTGGCGCATCAGTGAACTCGCCGCAGTCTTGGGCAATGCGCTGGTCTGGGTTATCCAGGCCCTTTCCCAACAGCTTCAAACCTGACGTGCGTGCTGTCCGTCAGCACTGAGGAGGCCAGCACTTGAACAAACGTGCACGCATCGCTCTGTCCGGTGGTTGCTCGTTGCCTATCTTTTCGCGGCAGAGGTGCGCACATGGTCTGTTCATTTCTACTGTCGTGGTAGACCGGTGTTTCGTCGCTCATACTCTAGTATATTTTGCCCTAGTGGAGAGTATACTGCAGTGATGCTGCAGATGCATTCTCGTATGTATGATCCGTACATATTATATGCACACAACGCGTTGATTGCCGTCGTGGCGGCGGAGGGACTTGCTTGCTGCACTGTCGGGACATCAGGTGAATGGCCAAAGCCAAACAGAAGCACGTCGCCTCCCTGCAGAATGTTGGGTGAAGTTGCTGCATATATATATATATACATATGTGCATAATTATAGTTATAGTTATATTTACATATATACATATGCAAATAAATAAATAAATAAATATATATATATATATATATATAAATAAATAAAGAACACCAAGACAGAGAGAGGGAGCAGAGAAAACGAGAAAGAGAGACGGAGTGATCGTGGGAAGATTATGAGCAACCTTGAGCAACGTCTTCCCACATCAGGTCCAATCATTTAATCGAATACAAGGTGCGGTAGTACATCCTGGACTCTCCGATGTAGCGGCTCCTTGGAACAGTGCACCGAGCAGCGGTGGAGTAACAGGACAAGAAGATGAAGAGGTCATAGCACTAGAACAATCCCCTTCGGTTTCAACTTGCTTCACTTTGCTTTCGATCAGACCAGAACCTAGCGAAGCTAACAAGGGATTCTGATCACTGCATGAACATGCCGGGTATGTGATGCGACGTGTCGAGGTCTGAAACTGGCTTGTGGTGAAGGTCTGCCATTTCGATCCGGTGATCTCGGAGACACCTTCGATCCCTCCAGGGTTGACGAACTGGGAAGAAGCTTTGAGAAGTCTTGGGCTCAAAAGGCCCTGTCCCAAGCGTTGCGGAGCATCCGGAAACCCAAATGCTGGAAACCATCCGTGACATCCAAAATGAGCCTTTGAGATTTTGTGCCCGGCGTCAGCAGCGAGCTCGTCAGGTAGCGGCGCCACTCCAACGCGAGCGCGCCCCGGAGTAGCTCCCGGAGTGCCAGGAGAGGCATGATACTGAGCACCACCTGCTGTTGAAGCCATCAGCAGACTAGTTCTGGCAGTATCTTTAATGGGCTAGTACCAGTCATAGTAAGCCAGTGGTAATGAAAGTGGTGACGCCGGCAATATCACCAGCGCAGAATGGCAGACGAACCAGGGCCTTGAACATGAGGAAAAGAGTCGAGTAAAACCTCACAGCTCGAGTCTCTACCGAAAGAGTCTTTTGAGGGTGCGGGAGGGTCCGTTTTAAGGGATCAGGCCGTGTGCGGCTTACAGCTTGCCGGCCCTGAAAACTTGGAACTCCGACTATCGAGCGTTTGGGGTTCTGAGCCCCTCTAAGAAGTCATGTGCTAGGAGCCGATTGTAAGGTGAGGGGTTTGGGGCCCTGTATGATGCTGTTTCGGATCCCGTCGCTTTACTGGGTTCGAAGGATGTCGAGGGTGTTCGTTCCCTTTCTGAAGTTATGATACCAAGGATCCCAATATTGATCGTTTGCGCATGTAGGGTTTCCTGAATCTAACACACGCGCTACACACCGCAACATGGCGTCGTGCAACTGAAACAGCGTAGGCCCCAGTTTCTTCGGCGCTTCAGACCGTGATAGACGGTAAAGATCCGTGCCTTCTCTGCAGCCAAGCTACTTCTGCTGATCTTTGTCATGCAGCGCATTCTGAAACTCGCGGAACGTGTTGAGGAACCACATCTGCAGCAAAGAAAAGCCCAACATCATCACCTGATCTGCAGTCGACGCGTTTGCTGTTTTCATGCGACCCAGCAAACTCAAACCCTGAACCTCCAAATAACCACCGGTAAACTACTTCGCACCGTACCTACATGCGCTCCTGAAGTCTGGGCTCAGTCACTCTGCCGGTGCCACAGCATCAGCTTGAAGAAGTACGAGTGATCCCGAGCCCGAAGACACACCAAAGACCCTTCCTGGCCGGCACCGCCACTCCGAATCCAAAAATCCTCAACTCCTGGAGCTCGTGAAGCCTTGACATGAAAGCTCTCAGCCACAGTGGCTAACAAAGCACACGCCAGAGACCAGGCGACGAGTCGGGACGACTTGTCCCGAAAGAAGCCCGAAGCAACCTAGGCAGATTCCGCGGGGTGCATATCGTTGCGCGCCTACGTGAAAGCATCTGCAGATTGGGGCACCCCAAATGGATGAATGATGTGCGACTGGATGGTGGTAGATAAACGAAGAGTACACCGAGATCCCTGCGAGCACGACGCTGCGAAGAAGTTGCCGCAAGCGGAGCTTCTCTACCTGATGAGACACCACGTCCATGACATGAGCCTGATGAAAAAGCCGTGTCCAAGTGCGTGCACAATTGAGGACCAGGCAGTCGGTGCATACGAGGGGTCGGCGGTGGTGGCCGTTTCAGGCTGCGCATCGTCCAGCGCTTTGTAAGGAGTCGTCAGCATGCTTGAACTGGGAGAAGTTTGGAGTCGGAGCACTTCATGAACCGAAGGCGTCTTGAGCCGGTGTTGCAGGCGTTGCTCATCTTACCAAGCTGCGTACGCTGCAAGTGCATGGCCGCAGAGCATGACAGAGTCTTTAGCTCCTGCCAGGGAGGTCGGGGAAGGACCCCCTCCACCTCAACATGATGCCCACGCCGCTCGGCAACGGCATCACCTCGGAGCCGAGGCGGTTGTCTGAGATGCCTCGCCTCGCGCCGTGCCGCGTGGCCGCGCCTCCCTTCATGCCGATGAGCACGTAGCCCTCCTGCGATCTTCCGCCTGACACCATCGAGGTGGCACCCACCTGAGCCAGATGCACCGGAGTCTGCTGCAGTATGTTGTCTGTAGCTCGGCCAAAGAAATTAACAAACGAGAGAACAGTTGAGCAGTTGACGCGCCGTAGAGCTCGAATAGCCTCAGAGTGTCAACCGAAGGCTTTGACACTCGCATTCGAGACCCTCAGTGCAAGTTGCCACGGCGAAGTGGAGCGTGAAGCAACAAGATGAAAAACGAACCAATAATTACATGAAGCACCTTCCAGACTCGTGCCAACACCCACGAACGAACGTTGAAGGTAGGTAGCGCAACAGACTGCGCCACATTTGGGAAGGGCGATGTGGTGGCTCGTGCCCACACTTGCAGTTTCCAGATGCTACACCCCTCAAAGCTCCGAGACCTCTCGAAACCTTCGAGACCCCTTCCGAAGACACCCTCCTATTGTCAGACACCCAGCCCTACACCCGGAAACCCTAAAACCCTATCGCCGTAGAGCCACAAACCCTAAACCCAAAATTCAACCTAAGAACCCGGAAGCCCTGAACCCGAAAACACTAAACCCTGAAACCCTAAACCCCAGAACCCTAAACCAAGTACCCATAAGCCCCTAAACCCTGAACCCAAACTCTTGTGATCTCCTGTGAAATGACGCTTGGACCCCGGGCTGCACCGCTCAGCGACTGCAGCCCGGATCCACGGACCGCCACGAGCACGATTCGGCCCTGAGAGAGTCAGTCTCATGTAATGGCATTTAGGCTTCGTCATAAGATGTAGGCATAGAGGTCTGCATAAGAGAAGGTTGTAGAATCCGAAAACCTTATATGTAGCTCTATCGTTTGAGGACTGACACTCAGGGCAGGAAGATCAGCGGTGCAGGTATAGGTGAGGTCAACTTCTCCTAGGAGTGAAGCGACTCTCGCATGCATCCGTACTTCCTGGCGGGTTCGCCACAAGTTTCCGTTCGATTCAGCGTAGGTGTGGCGATATTGCTGCTGTGCTGTGCTGTGTCACATCTGCTTGGACTGAAGTCTTGGCGGGGGCAAGCACCACTGGATGAACCTTCAAACAGAAGCGACAAATGGTCAACAAGAGATGCCTCAGACATCCACGCTCAAGTACACAATTTCTCAACCGAACGCTATGACGTGCTTCGAACCCCACCTGCCCAAAAAAGTAGAAACTTTTGCTGTTTGGGTTGGCCTCCGGCAGCGAATTGAGATCAGTAGCCAGCTGGCTTACGGCCTGGTCAGGAAGCGAAGACGACGAGGCGCTGGACAGCACAGACAATACTAGCTTCCGCTCATCCATTGTACACGGTTCGGCATACATGCCTACCTGCTTGCCTGCCTACGTACATACATATCCTTTAGACATGCAGCTGCACGCACATAAGTGTACCTAGTATGTATATAGCTTGATGTACTTATGCACGTGCACATCTATGTACCTGCCGAGCTGCTGCAAACGCCAGATTATTCTTCATCGTATAGACTTGTAGATCGCGCAGCTCTGTACATATTTGCCGTTATTAACGTTGCTGCCACTGCATCCCCATTCTGCGATTGCTGTTTCTTGCCGTGCTTGTTTTTGCTGATGCTGCTGCCAGTGTCTGAAGTGTTGGTGCCGGTGGTACTGCTGTTGTTGCTCTTCTCGCCCTTCGTCTCGCGACCGAATAAGTCGTAGTCTCGGAGAGATATATATATATATATATATATATATTTACAGTGCTCAGTGGTACGATCACTACTCGTTGGTACTTTACATGCAGTGACAATGGAGCAATTTGAGGCACTATACGTGCATGGTGCTCTATGTAGACACTGCGCATGTGCATTCAGCTTGCAATGCACAGTCTGATGTTGGAGCTGCGATGTTATGCGCAAAAATGCCGGAGCGAAAGGGCCAGCCACTCATCTACAGTAGAGCAGATCACATTGGCAAGATTCTTAGACTATCTTCAGGGTACAGTAGGGCAAACTTCAAACAGCTTCTCGTACAAGGTATTAACTTGACCATTAACAGTTAAACTCGATGTGGGTAAGTCTTTTACAGTACACTGCCGCTTACTACCTGTAGGATGTACCGCATTGCATTGCCGGAGCGGGCTTAGCCAGCAGAGACGAAGTGATGTCCTGCCCAAGGCTGCGGCCACATTTCCACCCGAAGCTGTGTCGTAGGACCTCGTGCCAGGGTCATGCTGCTGAGGGCTTCGTGGACAAGCATTGAAGGATTATCCGCACTAAGTACCTTTGCTTGTCGTGTGCCTCCTTTCTTCTTCTGACCAGCCTTCCACTTCACCAGCCCGACTCATGACACTTCATAGCATGTGCGGACTGAACATGCAGGTACCCGCTTCTATGTGCAGTGACTCACTGATGCCTCACGAAAGACTTTAGCGTGAAGGTTCGAATGCTGACAAGTGCTCCCGGCATCAAATCGAATGAATTGACATTATCCTCCCGCTGCACCGGCCTTCTCCGAATTGAATGTGTCTACTGCGCAGCCGCATGATAAGGCTGATAAGGATTCGCACTTAAGGCTTTCAGCAAGGGTGTAGAAAAATCTAGCTTCGAGTCGCATCTGGGGACGAGGTAGCCGACACACAGCCTTCAATGTGCCAGAGGTGTCCCAAGCTCTGTGCTCTTGCCGCCAAGGCATGTGCCGTAGCAGCTGAAAACCAATCGCGAGACACCCAAAAGCCCAAATTGCATTGCACCTCAAACTTCCGCGGCAAGCTCGGGCCCCAGACATCGCCGAGAGGATCTGCTGAGAGTCCGGATCCAGTGTGACGATGTTGAAGCCACGCCTACGGGGAAACCACACGAGGTTAGAAAACTCAGCGGCGCAGAAAACGAAAACCTGCGGTCAGTTTGACTTGAGGAAGCTGCAGCTACAGGGTCTAGAAGGATTGGGGTGGGCCCTCGGCCCACAGGTCAAGGCTTGGCATTGCGGGTTGTACGCTCAATAGTGATACTCGCAACTGTCGCCATGGCAGTACCAACTAAGCAGAGACGCGCACACACACACATAAATAAATACAAAGATAAACAAACCAACAGACCAAGAAAAGGACGAGAAATCTTGAAAAAAAAAACATGAACGACTACACACGTGAAGAATTCAATACCCAAATAAAAACTACGTAAATAAGCGACAATGTCGTAGCAGTCAAAGTCAGGTCATCGTCGTCATAGGCGGTCCTAGTAACAGTCGCAGTCGCAGCCACCACGACAACAGCCGCAAGAAGATGCAAGAAGAGCAGCACCGAAGTTAAAAGTAGCAATACCACTGGCCGCAGCAGCAGTGGACAATAACGAACACACGAACCCAACGAACGAGCTGCCGGCAACAAATGTGGGGAGGAGTCGGCCTGTTTTGTTCGTGGAAGGCCCAGCGGCCCGAATCCAGCGCGATCTTCTTGCCGTCTGGTCAGGGCATGGGGCTGTACTGGCTACCACGGCTGCCGCTTCGGGTGCTTTGCCGACACCTGATATGCCCAAACATGAAACCCAGCAGTGGCCTAGGTAGAAGTCCGCCCGGTTGCCGTGCCGGTATGTGGAGCTTACCACCTGCCGCATGCAGAGCCTCCCCAACTCTCTGAGCATAGTCTGAACTAGTACGTGTGTATATATATATATATATATGTATGTATGCATGGATGCATGTATGTATCTTATGCCATGTGATGTTATGCTATGTTTGTTATGTTATGCATATGCTTTGTCGTGACAGTATGTATGTATGTACGTATGTATGTAGGTCTGTATGTTATGTATGTATTTATGTATGTATGTTATGTATGTTATGTATGTTAGCAGGCATATGTCTATATGTACACATGTGTGCACATATATATATATGTGTGTATATATACATAGATGTGCAGATAGATGTGTATATATATATATGTGTGTGTGTGTGTGATCTTTTTCTGTGCGATTGTACTAGACTGGTGTTCAACATCAGCCCACGATCGCCATGACATATCCCTCCAAAGAACTCGATGGATAATGCTTGGCGCCCTTCATGCTATTGTAAGTCTGAAGCAACTTCAGGTTTACTGGCAGGGCCCACTCTGGCGATCTTGCGCTTCTCCGGGTGAAAGCCTCCATCGTATTCCGGCCCTGCCATCACAAGCACGAAGTTTGCGGAGGCGGCACAGTGCCATGGTACCACACGTCGGTACAGCCCTAGAGACGTCCGAGTTGGCCAACCCGAAACAAATGTTAGCTTGATGCATCGTACGGATGACGGATGAATTCCTCGCAGCCCCCTGCGAGGGCCACCACTCTGCCACCGTGCCTAGCACAGCGCTCGTGCTACTTGCTACTACTGCAACTAGGTTACAAGTTTGACTAAGGGCCATGGCCTGAACCGCTGCTCTTATGAAACAGGCAGCGGTCCTTTACCTCTCCTGGGTCCGGTTCGCACCATAACCTCGGGATGCGAGGCGGCGTGCTAGACCAACGTTTCGGCTAGCTGCAGCTTCCGTGAACAGCTCATGTGTTCCGGGAGAGGCTTCAAACAGCTCTGTTGCAGCCTTCGAGCATCCCCACTCAAGAACGAGCGCTGGATGGGTTCCGGGGGCTGTGGCTTTGCACCACAACAACCGCCAACAACCAGCACAACCCCCCCGCCCCCCCCCCAACTCTGCACCTCTCCGTCCAAAACAAACTCCGAGGCCAACACCCCAGGATCGGACGGCCAAATACTGCGCAGGGCTACAAGGATCTCACAGATTCACATGAGATGATCACAAGCTGCGGCTGGTGATCCTCTGACGATGTGCTGGCGGCACACATTTGCAGCTGGTCAGTGCAGACATAGCACGAGTTTCGTTCACAGGCCCAGCCTCTTGGGAACCTGGACCCTTCTGCTGCAGAACGGACAGCTGAAGAACGGCGGCGGATTGCCTTGGCTGCTTCAATGCGAGACAGTACTACGAAATCGAATCAGAACAGGAAAGTGGTATCCACAAAACGCAGCAAGACTAAAACGAGCCACGGATGTACGGTCACAGAGCAGGGGACGAGGAAGAACGATGCCACTTACAGTCGTCCTGTATTCGCAGGCCATGCCCTGCAGTTCAGTGCAACACAAGTTGCTTTTGACACCCGTCTAGTGCAACGAGAGCAGGACCCAATTCAAGAACCGGAGTATTCAACGGTGTCAAAAGCAAATACGTGCCAGCATGTAAACTGAGGTGGTGCCATTTATAGGAGTTCAATATGTAATCATCCCTGTTGAGCGTACGAGTAACTGTAACTGTAGTGCGCCGGAACATTACATATTCGCCCACATAGGCTGCATGCTGGTGCAAGCAGAAAGAGAAACCTGCATATGCTGGCTTCTGTCCAGCACAAGGCTTATTGAACTGGCTTCTCCCTACCCTGTGTCTTGACTTGACGTCGAGAACGAAGCAGCATATTGCACATAAGCAACAGCCAGACTCATGTTAGAAATTCAAACCACACCTCTAGCTCTGAGCCTAGCCATGCTAGGACCACACTCCAGACGCACGTGTACTGTAGGGGCCTTAATAATTACTTAAACTATTGTGGGGGGTTCCTTATTATAAGTATCGCATAATCGCATATATGAAGCCCCCTATAATACACTAGCCTTCTAAATCCCTTATAGTGGCCCGTATAGTCCCCGCCCCTACTTGGAGGATCATGGGACTTAGTAAGTAAGGTTATAAGTACCTTAATTGCAGTGATAAGTAACTATAAGTATAGTTACCTTGTTTCTAACCCTAGCTACTAAGTCCCATGACCCTTTAAGTATAGTAATAGTATAGTTACCTTGTTTATGACCCCAGTTACTAACTCCCATGACCCTTTAAGTATAGTAATTGCGGAGGTGGTGCTCCAAAGGTCCATCTTCCCCATCTCAGCTCCTTGGCCTGAGCCAGGCGCTCCTGAGGAGGTACCAGAAAGCAGACATCTAAAAAAGGGGTCTTAGTATACTGTGATTAGTATAATAAGGAACCCCCAAGAATGGTAGACATCTTTACCCATAATAAGGTATATACCATAATTCCCATAGTTTAGGGTCCTATGATTTTTGTAATAAGGAACCTCGCAAAAATGGTATACATCTAAACAAAGGGGCCTTAATACCAGATTATAACAATGGTGGGTTAATGCAGGGGCCTTAACTATCAGGCCCCCTATACTACAACTATTGGAATAAGGAGCCCCGCAGAGTAGCATAGGTCATTGTTAAGGCCCCTATCTTAGGCTCTGTGGAGAAGCGGCAGGCTTGAACATGTCAGGTACGGTCAAGCTTGCCGTGGTCATGCCTCACATCAGATTGATGCTGGGCCTCCCGACCTGGAAACTTGATCAACCACTGAGACCGGCCCACGGCTCGTCCGGGGGGTGCAGAGCTCGGGCGCCTCGGGCTTCTTGGAGTCGGGGTTCTGGGAACTCTGCGTTCTGGGAGGACTGGTGTGTTGTGCCGGGTCTCTGCAGGTCATGGCTCAGGCGGGGTTCGCGCGGATTACAACGCTGCGAAAAAGAGCCTAGGAAGAAGACCTTTGTTAGGGCTTGCTTAGAGGCTTAGAGGCTCCAAGTAGATGCAGACCTGTTCGGTCGAGCTTTGCAGGTGCAGTCCACCGTAGTCCGCTGCTCATGCCCCTTTAGCCGAGCTATGGTTTCAACAGCATGCCCGATGTTGGGATCGGAGCGCAACCTTCCAAGGGGGAAAAGTGACAGGACCACTGTCTCTAGCAAAAGGTCGGTAACTCCGTGCACGCTGTGCAGTTTGCAGCTTGTCGCAGATGTTGCTGAGCCCCTTGCGATGCCTTTTCCCTGTCCACGGATTTCAGGCCGGCCTCCTGCAGAGCGGCCAGCCAGTCGCTTTTGAACTTAAATATCATAGCGCATGTCACAGACTGATTGTGATGATCGTAGCCAACGTACAAAACATCTTCGGAATTGTACGGATCAGCCCACCACCAAAACCATCATCCACCATCAGCATCACCACCATCATCATCATCACCATCATCATGATCATGGTAGCAGACGTAGGAGGAGTAGGAGTGGGAGTGGGCATCGGAGAAGGAGCAGCAGCAGCAGCAGCAGGAGGAGGAGGAGTAGTAGTAGTAGCAGTAGTAGCAGTAGTAATAGCAGAAGTAGTAGCAGCAGCAACAGCAGTGACAGTAGGTACCATCCTCGTCGCCATTGCACCGGCAAGTTTTAGTAGACAGCTTTTTGGAATCCAGCTTGACTAAGATACCAGCATCATGCAAACTTACTCGTGCCGCCACATCTCTGGAACGGAATAATCGAACGGCTGTGGCAGTTCACCGTGCTCTAGTTGGCACGTGGAAGGTTGTCATCCCTTCTCCAATATTTATTGGAGTTTTGCGAGCACTGCAGTACTGTGCATTGGCCTATGAGTATCGCCATTCGACATTTGTTGATGCTCGTCCGCTGCCGACGATCATCGGTAAGGATGGAAAGCTCAGTACGAATGATGCCGGTGGTGGGGGTGATGACAATGACGACATGACTGCATCGAGGATGTCGACGATAATGGACATCAGTACTTCACCCTGTGAACCTGGGCAATAGACAGCTGTCTACTCTCTGCCTTCAGGGGCACCCTTGAGGTCGGGCTTGACCTCGGGGAATCATCCGTGGATTTGGTTCGCAGGCCCGTATGCTGAATCTTCACACTACCGATTGCTGCTGTTCTGCTTCAGGCACTGAGTGAGTAATGCTATTGTGTGGATGCTCCTGGGCGTAAACAATTCCGAAGCACAAACACCTGGATAAATCAGTCACGAACTCCAGTGGCAGCTACAGATGTGCCGTGCCGCTGCAGAACAAGGCCTAAGCCTCGTAATCTTTCAACTATGCCTAGCCTTCAGGAAAAGCACATCAGATCCTGCATTCTTGCGAAATGTCGTGCTATAGTCTAGGTAGTATGTTACATACGAACTGATATTTGCAGGTTCTTGCTTTCTAGTGCCACATGTTGTTTTTGCCCTGAGTGATAAGCAGACATATGATCTTGTTTACATAAACATACCAAACCGGAAAGCAACTCAGAAGCTGTGTTCACCGCCTTGCAGAATCCCAACTCCCAACTCTCGAGGCTAAACTCGTAAGCGCTGACTCCATGCTGATTTCAGAAGCAGCACCGTACGTCGCCCAAAAGCCTCGGAACCCTCAGCCATGCCTTGGAACCTCCCGCTTCTGAGTTCAGCCCAACTAAACTAAACACCACATGAAATCCAAGTGGAATCCTCTGAAATTCCGAACATTGTGCTGCTACTTTTTAGGTGCATGCACATAAAAAGTAGCAGCACAATGTCCTCCCTGCTTGGGATGCCGGCTCTGGCCGGTGCCGCGAGGACCTTCCGGGACTTAGTCCCAGCCTGGAGGGATTCACTTCATTCTGCTTGGCGGCCCATGAAGCTGCAGCAATTTAATAGAGTATACCATAGTCGACTATAATATACTCCCGCATCCCCAGTCACACGCGAAGTATCAACCCTCAAACAGCTGCACTGCTTATAAGCCGCCCCAAGTACGGGGTTTATGGCTCGGAATTACTTAGCGGCGGCGACGCGCAACCAACTTGCTAAGCTTTCCACCCCGGCACAAGACCTCAAAGGCACCCATGAGACGCATGTAGTCCAGAGAACCCCGACTTTTTTTGAAGCAGAGCCCATTGTGCGAGAAACGCCACTTAGCTGCCAAGTGCTACCACGACTTAATTATTATTACGGATAGCGAAGCTTAGAGATGCTTCAGACTTCAGACCCCCTTGGCATTCTGCTCGGGGCTGGATACAGCTCATACCATCTGTTTTGACATCGTCTGCAACGCTGTCAGCACGACGTCACAACGTTCTCCGGCCACATCCACTGTGCCGTCTGATTGGAAGTCATGGTCTGGCCCTTCCGCAACGACTCTGAGTATGATACAACCGTGAACAGCGAAACGAACAGTACATACATATCTACATGTATATATATATATATATGTATATGTGTATATACATTTTATATACATTATTATTATTATATATATACTTATATATATATAGATATACATATGTTTTTTATTACGTTTATACCAACGGATATGTGGTGCGGGCATCTACACATACATAGACATACATATGTACATACATACAAACATACAGCCCACTCCCAAAGGCCCTAGAGCGCTGCATTCTCTAGTTCCGTATACCCCGCACTGCCACAGGCAGATCTGGATATCCACACACCAGCTTCCTTCTCGATGTCCTGGCAGCTGCTCTGAACCTGCTCCAACCGCCGAAGAAGGAACTCCACGCGAGACGACTCCATGTGGCTCACCATCCTAGGTCTTGCACTCAGCATCCTGCACGAAAAAGACTAGACTATGTATATGGATGGATGGATAGATAGATAGATCTCTGGACCAATAGAGAGATAGAGGGGCGAGTGATCGAGAGATGAGTGAGTGAGAGAGAGAGAGAGAGAGAGAGAGAGAGAGAGAGAGAGAGAGAGAGAGAGCGCGAGCGAGGGAGAGACGGATAGCTAGCTCGCTGGCTAGCCAGGGTAGATAGGTAGACAGGCAGATTGACAGGCTGCAGATAGGCAGATGGACAGATAGATAGGTAGATAGATGGGTAGGAACATGGATAGGCAAGCAGATAGATAGGTAGACAGATAGATCAATAGACGGATAGATAGACAATGGATAGACAGATGGGCAGATGGCTAGATCACTAGATGGATAGATAAAGCAAGCAACCAAGAAAGCAAGATAGAAAGAAAGAACGACTGGATGCATTGACGGATGCGACAAGTTAGATAGACTAGGTAAGCTAGATAGATGTAGACCGATAGAGGCAGAGAGACAGAGAGACAGAGAGAGACAGATAAACAGGCAGGTAGATAGATAGGTAGATGATAGATAGATTGGATTGGAATGGATTAGATTAGAGTAGATTCGACGACACTAGACCAGATCTCATTAGGTTAGATACAGAGATAGATAAACAATTAGAGCGATTCACAAATGTACAGCGGCGCCACCAACCCCGGACACCCCTACGACCCCTAGAGATAGAGCTAATGATCTTGATATTTACACTGACTTGTTTATATACTTTGAGTCTAGGGTCCTATACTTTGTCCCATACCTTAAGCAAATCAGCGCAAACTCCAAACGTTCCCAAACTGGCACCTAGCATCTCTTCTTTTGAGGAGAACGACACCATTCCTTTCTCACCATGGCTGTAGACTGTGAGGCTCTCCCGACTCCCATCCAACTTCCAGGAAGGTCCATCCTCAAAGACGATTTTATCCGGGAGAACTTCGAAGCCCCGGCGACCGGAGGTCGGATCATACATCCCCCCCCCCGCAGCGACTGCACGAGGTGTAAAGTGTATTCGCTTCCAATCCCGTAGTCTGACAAGGTCCATTCGTCGTTGTCTAGCTGTATCCCGGCGTAAATTAAGCGCTGCAGGTTGGGGAGGCTGCCTTCAAGCTCCTTAATCTTTGTCTTGCATTTTTCGATGGTGTCGCTTCCTGCCACATCCAAAGTCAGCATACTGCCCGTCAATGTCTTAACGAATATTTGGTAGCATCTGGATTTGCCATCGAGCTTGCAATCCCGCGTGGACCTTTCTGAGATCCCGAGTGCTGGAAGAGTCGCATCCCTCAGACGACGGACGAGGTGCAAAGTGGACTCTTCTTGAATCTCGTAGTCTGACAAAGCCGCTCCATCTTCTAGCTGCTTCCCATTGAAAATTAAACGCTGCTGATCGGCAGGAATTCCTTCGCGATCCTCAATCTGCGCCTTGAAGTCGGCAACGGTGTCGCTTCCTTCCACATCCAAGGTCAGCTTTGTGCCTCTCAGCGTCTTCACAAATACTTGATAGCCTTCTGGCTTGCTGTAGTTACATGCATCGAGCTTGCAGACGAGCTTGGAGCTTTCTGAGATCCCGAGTGCTGAAAGAGTCGCCTCCTTGGGCAAGTCTTGGCCGTCCTCTGGGGTGCTGCTTCACTTTAGGAAAACAGTGTGCTTGCTACGCATCTCTGCTCGGTTCTTTCACACTATCCCAGTCCTTGGTGATGCTGAGTCGTCTCGAGCCAACCCCCAGACTACTTGCAAGCCGCTCGATGACGGCCGAGACGGTGGCGAAGGGCATGGCCTCCACCGTAATTTCTCTGACTTTACTTACTTCCGAGGAAACGACCAATGTCAGCTTGGACATCAAGAGGCCTTTCGTTGTCTCAAGCAGGTTCTGCTGTTGAAGTTTGATGGCCTCAACTTGTTGGATCATCTGAAGCAGCGATTTCTCCTTGGTGCAGAACGGCTTGTTCTGGAGGGAAGAGCGCAGCGCCTGAATGTCCAAAACCATAATCAAGACTGAACGGCGGGTCTACGTCCGCGCCTACACAGTGTTGCTGGGAGCCTGGGAAAATGCACATATGAGCTGCTGCCGGAACATGTTCTGAGATAGTACATGATATATCTGTGTGAGAGAGAGAGAGAAAGATGTTTATCCTTACATGCTTTTGAAAACCCGATAGAAACGCTGCTTCCCAAAACCACAAACCCAAACTTGTGCAAGCAGGTGTGAAGCGGGCGTACGAAGAAGCCACGTCTCCGGCATCAGGATAGAGCGCATGAGGGACAAGTACTAAAAGGCCAGATCCTGACCCGGCTTTAAGCTATAAAAAAGAATCTCTCTGAGTCTCTTGACTAGGACCTCAATTTGACATTGCCAAATAGGCCTCATAACGAGATCCGCCGCATCCCGGATAGTAATAAGTGAGGCGTGCTTGGAGCCCACCTGGACTCCACAGCGGCCCCGAAGCCTTCAAAGCCACCAAGTGCGGCCAGTGGATGCTGCCTGCTCTGGCAAAGTTGTTGTGCTATGAGCAACCGATGCACTATGCACAGCAGCAGCATTGATGCTACTGGAGATTGCCAGTTACACCACTAATAGACGTAGTCGTGCTCACAGTCATGCTCATCGTCGCAAGAGATAGCAATGATACCAAGACTGCAGTGGCGACAGTGACGGCAAGCATAGCAAAGCTGGCGTCACCAGTGACTACCACTGACCACAGAAAATGACAGCCGTACTCGAAACGACGTCCATTCTCATCAACGACATCACCATCACTCGTTTATCATCGATACATAAAGATGCGTCGAAATTAACTAATTACCAATACCATCACCACCACGGCTACGAGTAGTGATCACCACCTATAAGAAAGTCGCGAGATTCAGGATGTCCCAGTATCTTCCTAGTCACGAATATCAGGCGGCGCTGGACTGTTCTTGAGTTTGTTTTGTTGGACCGTACACAGGCCACTCCATCCACCATTGGCAACCACCCACAGACCGTTAAGAACCGGAGCAGGCACGAGATACTGCCATTCCGAAATTCGAGCTTAATTGGCACTAAGACGATCAGTGAATGACATCTGACCTGTCCTGAAGCCAGCTCACAGTAAGCATGCCACAAAAACAATAAATCTAGAATCTAGAACGAAGCAGCAACACCACCTTGAAGGGCTGGCCATGATCAGGGAGTCATCCCTAAACCCTAAACCCTAAGCCATGGATTTACGGCTGAAAGGATCACTGAGGCGGTCCATGCGCTGTCCAGGGAATGATACTCATAGACTCATAACATTGGCATATATGATACGAGCAAACTTGTACAAACCTCGGATACTGCAGCTAGGCTGCGGAAAGAACCGCTTCTCTTGGGGGAGGCTTCGAAGGCTTCGGGATGCAAGCACAAGAAGTGCTGGACCCGAAGAGGGATCAGCCTGAAGCCTTGCAATGGATATTTAGGAGCTCAAGCTCAGTCATCACCCTGAAATGGTTCTTCAAAACCAGACCTTCTTGTAAATGCAGGTGCTTGTCTTTAGGTTGCCTATAGCAGCATCGCAAACACGAGGTGCCTGCCATCAGACGCAGGAACCGCCGGTTGGCGGGTCTCAGCAAATCGAGCTGAAACAGTCAACTGCCGGGGGGGTGCCCGAACCAAACAACATGACGTTTGTTGGTGTTGTTGTCGTGCTCCCATCGTCAGCTACAGTGTTTGTGTACCTCTATATATATACACGTATGTATATACATCAAGCATGTGTATATGTACATACATATATGATGTGTATATAAATATGTGTGTACTTGTATAAGCTTCTACTCCAGAACCCCTTTACCCAAGCTTCTTGGGCTCCGGCTGGCGAGCCGGGCGGGGAGCCAGGGCCGCTGGCTCTGAGCACGGCTTCCACTGTGGCCTGGAGGTTCATGGGTAGCTATAAGGGTTCCTGTAAGGGTCCCTGTAAAGCGATCTATAGGGATTCTACAAGGGTTTCGGGTTTTAGGGTCTACTTGGAGGTTCATGGGTAGTTATAAGTGGGGTAATGATTCGGGTAACCATAATTGTAACCCATATCAGGGGACTTTTAACCATTTCAAGGGGCCGAATCTGGATTGTAGTCATGCTAGGCTAATTCTCTCATAGCAACAAGATGATATGCCAATAGTATTTTACAGGTATATTGCCGCTCCAATATAATATGGTAGCATTATAGTAATGGGTTCCAAGCACATGAGCAAATTGAAATGCTTCGCCGGCAGGGCATGCCCAAACCTGTGGTATTTGTTTGAAAGTCCGTCCTGCCGAGCACACCCGACGGTTTCTTCCGTCACGGAGCTGACGGGCTTGAAAGCCATTACTACAAGATTACTGACTACAACATATGCAGCTATAAGACTACTTTCTTATAGGGCTTGCAAACAAAGGAAACCCTACTTGCGCTTCCGCAAGGTCACGCGCGATGCCCCCGGTTTGGATTTGTTGGCCTTTTCTGAAGCAACAACTCAAACAAAGAACATCAAGCCCAAACTTTGCGCGTAAAGCTGGGAAAGGAGTTTCGCTAAGCGTGGCTAGCTTGACTACGTCCACCGCCGAATTAACGGCTTAAAAAAGAACCCGACCCTGAATCTTGAACCCCCAAAGCCATGGAATCCTACATTGTGAGAGCCTTAAACCCTAAACCCTAATCCCTTGGACCCAATAGCCCTGCGCAAGACGAGTTCTATGGCGACGGTCGTTTGCAGACGCAGCCAAAGGCTTCGCCTTCTTTGCCGTATGATTGCGTTTGGACGTGCGGAAAAACATGCAGCATGTTTCTGGACCACAAGCCATCTCCCCTCATGCCCGGCCTGAAAACGCACATAAGCTTGACGTTTAAAGCCATGGCTGGCATCCTGGGCCCTGAACCCCCGAAACAAAACCCCCAAAGACTCGGCAACCAAATCTCCTGCACAACCCTGAAAAATCCTCTTTCAAAGCCTCCTATACGACCTAGAAAACACACGCTCATACTGCAACCCCGTTAGCAGAACCCTTTTGGATCCCCTTGCGCAACCCTTACAGATGCCCCAATAGATCCATTATAGATCCCCTTATGATAGGATCCTGCTAACAGATCCTTTATAGAACCTTTAATAGAAGACGTATTACAAAACCCATTATAGAGCCGCTTACAATCGGACCCCGAACCCTTAGAATAGAAGCCTACGGCAGAACCCTTATAACAGAGCCCTTACAGATCTGCTTGCAATCGGACCCTGTTTCTTACCTTTGGTTAGTAGGGAATGGAAGAATGGTAGTAATAGTAGTTATAATTGTACCCCATTCCTCCATTCCCTACTAGAAACCCAAGGCCCGCCTCCCGAGCTTTAGCTCTTCCCTCGGGGCCCCCATGGCTCTCCTGGCCAAGGATCTCTCGGGCTTAGAGTTAAGGGTCAAATATACGTATATAGTATCTAGATATATAAGATATTAACATAGGCAAAGGTATATGCACACGTATATATATATATATATATATATATACACACGTCTGTTTGTATGCACATGCATATACGTATATACATATATGTGCGTACATATATTATGTATATGCGCCTGATTAATTAGAATAGGGTGTTCTGATTAGAATAGGGTTTGGGGGTAGTGCAGCTAGGTCGAGGTGTTGCAACTGTGCATTGATTAGCACACAGGCTGTTTGGTGAATGGCCAGGATGCGCAAAACTGCATGACAGAACTTGGAGCTCAGGGAGATCCGAGTTCCGAAAACTGTCAACCGGGTACCAACCCTGAAGCCGAATTCCGAAGATAGCCGATCCTGAGTTCCGAAGAGCAGCAAAACTAATGTTGGAGCATTGTCGGAACTCTGCTCAGTTTCAACCCAGCCAACACCAAATGTGACAGGACTACAGCGGACGAAGTGCTTCAGTGACCTGTCAACCAAGACCCTAAAACCTGAACCCTTGATGCTCAATTGCCCAGGGCAACAGCACGATACTTCCACCCCCCGCCCTGCCCCCTCCTCCCCTACAGCCCTCAGGCAAGCTGGGCCATGCGGTTTGTGTAAGCCAAAAGTTGCTGCAAGCTTTGAGGGCTCAGGGTTTGAGGGTCTGGAGTCCAGAGCTCAATTTCAAACCTTCAGGACCTAGGAGTGGTCCAAGGAAAGACAGGCCGGAGAGAACCATGAGCTTCTGCGTCAGGAAGGAGCCCAGTAGCCACTGAGCCTTCGTGGGCTCCTGGCAGCATCCACCCCAAACGAAGCTCGCGGCTCAGACTCATACATCACTGGGAGCTGATTTCCTAGAATCGAGTTAAACTACTGCTGCAGGTTCCGGGAAAAAGACTCGCGGAGACGATGATGACAACAATGATCTTCACAAACGTAATTTCCCAGCTAACTAGCCATCTTGAGATATACCTGGAATAACGATTGCAATGGCAATCGTCAATCGTGGAACATGTAGCACCCGAGCCCCATCGTGGTCGTAGCAGCACTGGTAGCAGCAGAAAGTAGTCGTGGTGCTGGTGCTTGCGCTGGCGGTGGCAGTGGTGGTGGTGGTGGTGGTGGTGGTGGTGGTGGTGGTGGTGGTGGTGGTGGTGGTGGTGGTGGTGGTGGTGGTGGTGGTGGTGGTGGTGGTGGTGGTGGTGGTGGTGGTGGCGGTGGCAGCGTCGTCGTAGCAGCAGAAGCAGCGGCAGCATCAACGGCAATGCACAGAATTTGTTGTTGTTGGTGGGGGTGGCGGGGAATCTAATCGAAATAGTCGTCACCGCTACTGCCGTCGGCGGACTAGGGCTTTGCGGCGTTGCATGAGAAACTCCGCACTGCTCATGTCCTGCTCTGCCCATGATGCTGTCAAGCCGTGCGGATCCGAGAGGTAGCGCCTGCATCAGGACCGCTTGCTAAATTATGTCAAATGGTAATTTTTGTAAACACAATGGTAATGATGGTGTGGTATATGGCAATATGACGCAACAATGGTAACACAGAAAAGCGCTTCAGAAGGCCGCTGATATCTACTGATCATAAATTTCTCATATCTCCTGACAGGAGCGCCTTGGGTACCGCGTGTAACGGCGGGTGGACTACGTTCGGTTCTTCAGTGCTGGGGCCAAAAACACAAATCATCCCCGTCGAACGCGTCGCGCAATCTCCAAGTCCTGCCTGATGGCCGCGTCGTCCCGCAACGCAGATCCCTCCACGACGTCTGAGAAAGCCGAGGTCACGCGAGCTGAAGGGTGGACGCCACGCCTGCAGCCCATGGTACAGAGATAGATCATAAAAAGACAGGGCTAAAGCTGCTCCTCACCGGGACCCCGGCGGTATCGGGGCCGTGGTTTCTGCCAGCTTACAAGCCGTCTGCAGATCTTCGGGCGAGAGGTTCCCCGCAAAGCGCAGCGGTGCGGGGGTGATGATCGGGGACTCGCTGGGCTGGAACTGCAGTCTGTCGCTGGCCTCTGCCACCAGCAGCAGAGGCTCCGGATGGGTTGTGGCGAGTTCCGAGAAGAGCTTACTGTATAAGCCTTGCAGAATCTCCGTGGCCAAGGAGGGATACTCCCTTCGAAGGTCCTCCAAATCCGAGGGGAGGAGCAAAGCGGCCAAGGTCGGCCGGGCAGCGAAGACATCCAGTGGGCAAGGCTGCACGCCTCCAAGAAGGTACTCAAGACCTACAACATCTCCGGGATCGAACCACATAGAGGGCGAGCTGCCAGCATCCCGAAAGCCTGTGAACTTGCCGTCCAAGACAATCAGGGCTCCTTCTAAAGGCTCTCCGCGAGCCAGCACGCTTACACGGGGCTGCCACTGAGCCACTCGGAGCCGGCAGGCCAAGGCCAGCAAGGAATGATAGTCTGCGCAAGGGAGAAGCTTTCCTTCATCTCTGAGCCTTACGAGAAAATCCAGAACCCGGCGTTCCGTGAAGGCTGCCAGGTTCCACTTCAGCCGCTTCGAGACGGGGCAGCCGCGAAAGAAACAGCCCGATGAGTCAGCGAGTTGCATCAGCAGGACTCTGAGCAGCGAGTGGTGGAAGGCGGGTCGCGACCGTCGCAGAGCTTCCAGTTGATCGAAGCTCAGGACAGCAATGCAGCCATCCTCCAGGGCCCTCAGCGTGTAGGGTCGGGCATGGCTCCTCTCCCACAAAGCCACCCGGGCACTTCCGACGATCTCGCCTGCCTGGTGGTTCCCCAAGCGCAGCTCGCTGCCGGTGACCTGGGGCAGGCTTGCCTGGGCTCTTCCGGCCATCAGAAAACCCAGCCAAGAAGCTGGCTCCCCGCGCAGAAAGAGGACTTCCCCTCGTCGAAACCCCAAAGGGGAGATCAACTCGGCCAGGTCCTCCAGCTCCGCTAGACTCAGCTCCGCGAAAAGGCCATGATCGCGGCGGAAGCGCCTCAGCACGTCTGCGGTCCCCACCACGCCAAGCTCCCGTGTCGGGGGTCTCAGCTCCACCGCAGCTGGCGGATCGATCATCTTCTTCGGGGCCTCGATCCGCCTCGCCAGCGACGGCAGCGACAAATCTGCCTGATGCGGAGTGGGCCAGTCTTCTCCGAGAACAAGACGACTATACTCACTAGCCGGTCACTAGCCACTATGTCACTATCCGAGTCCCCCTGGCCCACCGGGTTGCTACTCTGGCCTTCAGTCTGGACTCAGGCTCACCGATGCGGGCCGGCGGGCTGTGTCCAGGCGAACCCCGGCGAGGTGAACTTCGCGGGGGGGAGTCGAGACGTCGTGCACCAGGCGGAGCCCCAAGCTGCGGTGGCAGCAGGTGCCCTTGGAAGGCAAGCAAATCTGACTCGAAACAGCGAAAACGTGCGATGATGCTGCTTATTATCTGCAGCCGCGCACCTGTTTGCATGGCCATGGCTGCGTCACGTGCCTCTGCTCAAAGGCGCCATGGCATCAACTGTAGTGCCGACACAAGCTGTGTCTAACAAACGCTGTATACCATGCGAAGACCTCTTGGTAATCGGTCCGTGCTGTACGAAAGAGATAGTGAGGATTGCAAGGGCCTGCAGTCATGTCCGCACGATTGCCAGAGGTCCCATGTTGACAGAGTCAATCCGAGTGACGGAATAGAGATTTCAAACCCACCCTACGACAACCATGGCCTTTACCTGTACCTGCCTTTACTACACGGAGCAGCCTAACTACTGTCGCAGTGAGCCGCCAGACATGCAAGGGATGCCCGTCTGCTGGGATTGCTTGCATAGCATAGCATAGCTTCGTCAAGACTTGCACATGTCGTGAAGCGGCTTTTGCTTTTGAAGGAGTCGCCGTCCAGTCTGTGGAGCCACAGTGGCTTGTCCTCGAGCCGGCCCGGACGTGGCACAGCATGCCCGGGATTGCAGTAGTGGCCCAGCATCGGTACCCGAGGTGCATCCGTCACCGCCAGTCACAGGCCGTCCAGGAAACACGGGGAAGTCATGGAAGTACCTCAAGCCGAAAGCACTCAAAGCCGCTCAAGCCGGCTTATGCTCACAGGCACGCGAGGATCATCACCGCTCCGGTCCGGTGGATCAGAGCTCTGCCTTCCAAGTAATTTCGGGCGCAGGCGGTGCTTTGCATGACTACTACTCCTCCTCCTATTACTGCTACTACTGTTGCAACAACAACAACAACAAACACACACACACACAGACACACACACACACACAGACACACACACACACACACACACACACACACACACACACACACACACCCCTACTACTACTACTACTACTACTACTACTACTACTACTACTACTACTACTACTACTACTACTACTACTACTCCTGCTGCTGCTGCTGCTGCTACTACTACTGCCACTATCAGTGTCACTTTCAGTACCCGGTGTAATTATCAAACGAGTATTCTTTAAGTTCCTATTGATATCCTATTATGATTAGTACTACTATTGTATGCTTATCACTATTCGTGTTAGTGTCACTTCCTAGCATCGAATATTCTTTAAGCTATTCCTTGAAGTGTTGGGCCGTGCCTTGCCGACCTTTCCCTCAGGTAGCGGCGGTGTGGCCTCAAACTCTGCCTGCACGAAGGGTGGGTTGTGGGGGGGGGGCTGATTGGGGCTGTCGGGTTTTAGGGTTGAGGGTCTGCTTCAGCATTTGGAAGTTTCCGGAAATAGGGGACTCCAGTACTGTACCCCAAATGGTAGGATCCTTATTATAAGGACACTCTTGACACATCCCAGCCTGAAGATGCTGCACTTCGTCGTGGAACCTCGATCGAGCCACGCGAACTCCCTTCGAAAGGAGCCATGGAGTGCTTTCCCAACATCTCCGCGCAAGGAAGCAGGGCCCTATTGAACCCTAACCAGGCTATTTCGCAGAGAGGCCCATGTTTGACATTTTATGAAAAGACTCGTGATCGGACCCTGAAAACAAGCATAGGGGTTGCTAGCAGAGCTACTTTAGTAATTTAGGGGATACCAAGATCTGCAAGTTGAATGAGCAATTGTCGAGGAGGCCGCGTTTGCCACTCGGAAATGATACGCTTCGCCATCACAATCTTTGGCTCCTGGCATCGTGCTGACCGCCCTGCATTGCAGTCAACACACTACAACACAACGCCATCATGTCCACTCCAAGCTCAGATTGTATTTCTTCTTGACAGTCCTTTGTGAGCGGGTTCTGGCAGAGGTCAATTGTCTTGGCGCTTTGCTTGCTCTCCTGGCACTCTTCATCGCATTGTGCCCGAATGAACATGCTCGGACCCATGGCAGCTAATTGTGCTGACCTGCGAGCACCACGTCTCGCACCACAACCACTCGGTGGGCCTCAGCGATGGCAACTGATGACTTGCTATGAACTGATGCGCAGCACAGCGGCACTCACACGAGGGGCGGCACGACAAGGCTTAAGGCTAGAAAAAACTGCGCTGCATCCGTGAGTACTGCTGGAGCATTCGGTCCTACCCCTCCTCGTGGCTCGTGGCTGGTCTCAGCACCACGCAGGGTGAAGATCGGCACCTGGTGCTGGGCGAAGTTGGGCAGGTCCTTGCACATTCCATGCTTGCAGGGCCAGTACCAGGCGATATAATCTTGCTGCGAAATCTTGACACAGTGCCTTATACGCTGCCAGGCAGCATGACTAGCTGCTAGAAAGCTCTCCTAGAAGATTGTAGGGCCCCAAAACCCTATTCTAATTATTAAGGCCCCTATACTATACTATTATACTACCCTTATAGATCCCTTATAGTAGCCCCTATCTATATATATATATATATATATATGGTTGTTGATCTAAATTGCTTCGTCCCGGAATGACCTTCTTCACGGAAAAAAAAGTAACTTTCGCGCCACCGTCGCGCAACTTTCGCGGAGGCATACTTACATACATTTGCAAGCTAGACACCTGATTCCTGTGAGGGTTCTGTTCGGCGTTCCTTGGAGTGTTCTTTTTAAGGCTTGCTGCGAGGTTGCGCTTAAATGGTTTTTTGCAAGGTTCTTTTGAAGGTTCTGTCAAGGCGTCTCCAAGCTTTTCAGCAGTCTGAGCACGACACTCGTTCTTCAAACGAAGTATTGCATCAGACGGCAGGAGATCCTTGGACCGCTTCTTGCCTCGCCCTCCTTGTTCACCTGAACGGGGTGCCCCTTTCGCCAGCCATTCGCGAAAGGCACCAACAATGTCCATTGGGGGGTGGCCTTGATCTGGCGACTTCGACTTTAACGCAACTTGCGCGGAACTTGCGCGGAACTTACGCGCTAAATCCTCCACACGAACCTATTTTTTGGGTTTGTCGCTGCTTACACGTAGAAGGTTGTAGGTAGTAGGTATGGCATGGAAGTGGGAGTACGTGGGTGACGGTACAGTAACAGTATAGGAGCAGTTGTAGCAGCAGCAGTAGCAACAGCAGTAGCAGCTGCAGTAGCAAGAGCGTAAAGTCACAGTACTTGTCGTAGTGCTAGTAGTAGCAATAGTAACAGTAATAGTATTAGCAACAGTAACAGTAACAACAGCAACAATAGTCATCGCAATCGACATCGTCATCGCAATTGTCGTAGTCGTTGTAGTTGTCGTAGTGGTAGTAGTAGTCGTAGTCGTGTAGTAGTAGTAGTAGTAGTAGTAGTAGTAGTAGTAGTAGTAGTAGTAGTAGTAGTAGTAGTAGTAGTAGTAGTAGTAGTAGTAGTAGTAGTAGTAGTAGTAGTAGTAGTAGTAGTAGTAGTAGTAGTAGTAGTAGTAGTAGTAGTAGTAGTAGTAGTAGTAGTAGTAGTAGTAGTAGTAGTAGTAGTAGTAGTAGTAGTAGTAGTAGTAGTAGTAGTAGTAGTAGTAGTAGTAGTAGTAGTAGTAGTAGTAGTAGTAGTAGTAGTAGTAGTAGTAGTAGTAGTAGTGGTAGTGGTAGTGGTAGTGGTAGTGGTAGTGGTAGTGGTAGTGGTAGTGGTAGTGGTAGTGGTAGTGGTAGTGGTAGTGGAAGCGGTAGTAGTAGTAGTAGTAGTAGTAGTAGTAGTAGCAGTAGTAGTAGTAGTAGCAGTAGTAGCAGTAGCAGTAGTAATAGTAATAGTAATAGCAATAGTAACAATAACAGTAGGTCAACACATAACTTTCGCAAAAAATAAAGTAACTTTCGCCGCACCATCGCGGAACTTTCGCGAAGGCATATTTAGCTATGCAGTTGGCCGTTCATATAAATTATACCACAAGGAGCTTTAGATCAACTACCATATAGAGTTCTGCAGGAGTGCTCCTGACTCCTGGACTCCCGGCATGCTGCGTGGGTTCGGGGCTTGTCGGATTTGGGCTGTTAGACGCTCCTTGACTCTTCGGGGTCGAGGCTGGCACATGAAGGATAACTACTTGCATTTAGTATTAGTATTAGTTTTGGTACTATGTAGTATCAGTACTGGTATCAGTATTAGTAGTATTAGTAGTATTAGTATTAGTAGTACTCGTATTAGTCGTACTAGTACATCATTGTTGTGGTCAATATTAGAACGACCCTGAAACGAGCGCGTCCTGGTCCAAGTTCGCCAGCGAGTTGGGATCCCGGCTCAACTGCGAAGAAGGGGTGAAGGTCAATTTGGAGGGCGATATCCTGAACCCTAAACCCCAGACCCCAAGCCCACCCTATTTTGGGGGCGGCTTTCCAACTGCATCAGGTCCGAGGGCTCAGGGCTTAGGGTCTTGGTGTCGGAGGTCAGGGTTTTTCGGAGGTTTGCTTTTCGGGTTTCGGATGTTGCGGCTTTGCTGCAGCCTACGGCCTGCGGTTCGTGCTCCTGGAATGAAGGGCTCGTGGTTCAAGACACGGGGTTCCCTCTGAAGATAAGCCCGTGATATTCGGAAACTCCCAAGGACCGGTAAGTCCGGAAGCCTGGATGTCTCGGGTTGATGCCGTCTGCAGCGGCATCGCTCAGCTTTGTCGATACTTCCGGGTACCCATCTCCCCGTCTTATCATGTCTGGTTCGATTGCAGAATCGATTGGTAGTCCCCGGCCTGGTTGTAGACACCCCGCAGCGTCTCCCCAATGGAGGTCCGGCGGAACTGCGGCAGCTTGGAGCTCGGGGCTTCGGCTTCGATGGGAACGAGGTCTCCTCGACTTTCGTGCAGACGCCGGAATTGCAAACACCGGGAGCCCTAAACCCTAAATATCCTAAATCACAGAGCCTCAACCTTCCTGTTCCCTCCCTTCAAGAGCCCTTCAAGCACCTCCATCAAGTCGACGACAAAAAGAGCTGAGATGTGATACCTCGAAATCTGGTTCACAGGGTGTGAGAAGGGCTTGAATGAGTCTGGTCCTGGATTCATGAGGGCTTCTTAAGAACTAGGTGCATATTCTTAAGGCCAGGTGTACTAAAAGGGCCTCACTAAATTCCCGGCCCCCTACTTTCCACGACCTGCCGGTGGGTAACCTTCCTATGGCCATGATCATGGTCAGTAATCATTGCAGAAATACTAAGAATGACAGTAGCGTTGTGGTGGTGGCGCACATCTATGTACTGCCACTATTGCTTTAGCATCCGTGGAATGACTGGCCTGACTCGTACTGCTAGCATAGCGCGCTGAGTGTAGTGCGAATTACCATGGCCTCGGATGACTTGTGGCAACTGACTCTGCCTCTCCGAATTCCTATCCTCTAACGCAGAACCTCTGGAACAGCGCCAACAACGAGCCCCAAACCCCGACTCCATCAAGCATGCAAGGCGTGCGGTTTGCCCCCCAGGTGGCTTTTCCAGTAGCCCTGCTTCCAGAAGCGGAAGCCCTGCTGGCAAGGCTTCGAACGATCATTTCACGACTTCGGCGTGATCACTGGGGTTCTGGACTGTCGAGCTTGCGTCATTGTGGTGCTAAGGAGTTAGCTCAAGCTGCTAAGGCTGCTAGGCGAGCAGACGTCCCAGTACGCTCGGGCGAAACTGCCGTGCAAGCCACTGCGATTCATGGCCCTGGGACCTAGGCTAAGAAGGACAGAGATTCCTCGGCCAGCAGAACCGCTCCCCTCCCTAGTCCTCCAGAGTCCTGCCTCTGTGTCAGGGTTCGTGTCACCCATCGGGACGAAGCCGTAGACGTTGCCCTTGCAGCAGATTCTGACTCCACGTGCAGCGGCAGGTTAGAATGACGATTGGCTGTGGCTATCTGTACGACTCTTGATTCCTGATGCCGACAGGGCTTCTGCCACCTACACTGACCTGCACTGTCATCAATAGGACTTGTCTGTGGCAGCATCGTCAACCCCATCGTCATCGTCAGCATCACCTTCAGCATGGCCAGTATCATCTTTACCGCTCCTCTGCTTTTGTCCCCTTCCCCCTCCTCCTCCTCCTCCTCCTCCTCCAGATGCTCGTGCTCCGCCACCTCCTGCATCCTCCTCCTCTTGCTCCTCTCCATAGCCCTCCCCCTCCTCATCATCATAGTCGTCATCACCATCGTCATCAGCAACAACGACATCGGCAGCCTCATCATCATCGTCGTCGGTTTCATCGCCATCACCATCACCATCACCAACACCACCACCACCACCATCATCATCATCATCATCATCATCATCGTCATGTCATCATCACCATCATCATAACCACCATCATCGTCATCATCATAACCATCATCATCACCGTCGTCGTTGCAATCGTGGGACCATCATCGTTGTCATCGTCACAGTCGTCGTCGTCGTCACCGCGCGGTGACACCGCCGTCGTCAACACCATCAGTTTCGCCACCGCCACTACATCTACTACCACCTTGGCCTCGGCCTCAATCCCGAAGTGCTGAATCATGATCCCCACAGCTCCACACTCCGCACCCACACACCCAGGGAGCTTGCCTTAAGGTCCAGGTCCCAAAGCTCCTTCACATCGGCCCGCACCACCTGAGCAGGACCAGGCCGCTGCCAAGGGCCCTTGAGGCTGGGGGATCTGCTACCAGTACTGTACCGTCATGTAGAAACTGTTGGGGGCCAAATCCAGCTTTCAACCGGCGTGAGCATCCTCCGGCCTGGTCGGCATCGATGAAGATGATCTTCGGCACGTCCTGCGGGAAGAGCACCTCGGGACTTGTGGAATCGGCTTCAGGACCCTTCCGGGAAGAGCCGGAAGATCTAGCACCGCAAGCTCGGAGCAACACATCCAAGAAGAGGATCTTGTATGCCCATATCAGCCGCTGCTTCTCGCCTCGGCACCAGGGTGGTTTCTCAGACCCATTTCGGGGAGGAGCATCGAATGCAGGAAATGCTGTCTCATAGCCTGTCCTGGGCGGCATGCTCTGTGGGTTGAGCCACGAGGGCCACTTGTAGGTGACGAAGTCGTACTTGAAGTTGTACCTTCGAGGATTTGTAGCTCCACATTTTTCCTCAACTCATCCCTGACAGGGGAAAGAAACCCATCCGCAGATGAGGAAAGCCAACCTCTGCTTACTCAGATCAGCAGAGGTTGCCTCGCAGCCATCTGCGGGATGAATGCCTGCCCCGGCAGTGGCAGTCGGCACGCGACATGCCCAGGAAGCCCCCGACTCACTCGGAATCAAGTCAAAACGCCCCCAGACCTTCCAGAAACTCTGAGAACCAGCTCTATCGAAAGCACTGGATTGGGGGGTGAGGGCACGGTGAGGGGGGTGTTTCGGGGTGGAAATGGGGGCAATTGGGATAAAAGAGTGAAGCCTTGAACTTCGGCGACAGGAAGTTGTCGATGAACCAGAAGTGCAGAGGGTTCTTGGTGTTGTTCCGGACCTCACAGATCTGCCCCAAAGAGCCACCCCGGCGCTCCCACGAGGGAGGATGCACCAGGCTGAGGCTGCTACGGATAAGATCATGATACTGAGGAGCTTTTCGTAGAGGTGGCCGCTTGCCACCTCTTGAAAGGGCCAGGAAGGACGCAAGCTGTAGAACGACCAGGCACACTTCCAGATGGAGGAAGCCAAGGGCCCTCAGCCCTCGAAACCCTAAAACTCGAAGTACACGCGATTGACGAATCCACGGCTGAGACGGGCAAGGACAGCTTAGCTCGATGCACTGAAGATGTGGATCGTCTCCCTCAGTCAAGTCTTGAGTCGAGTCCAGGGCGTTGGGCTGCTGTGGGGTTTGGGGCCCAGCAAAAAGGGTGTTTAGGCTTGGGGTTTGCGGCTTCGGGACTTTACGGTTTGCGCATGTTTAGGTGGGAAAGAAAGCACGACAGCCCCAACGTCGAAGGCGACTGCTGGGAGCTGGAAGGGCAACAGGTCGCTCTTTGGCCGCTCCATAAACACGCAAGCTCGAAATCCGATACCCACAGGCAAAGCGAGGAGCCATCACCCACAGATAGGGCTACAGGAAAGGGCCGCTGAAGCAAAGACCTGCCAGACCGAAGCTCCACAGCGTAAGCCATCAAATGGACTAGCAACCCCGACAGCGACTCTGTGAGCAACGACTGTAGCGGCGATGATGCTGCTGGTGGTGATAATGCTGCTGCTCGAGCTGCAGCTGCTGGACGAGGGTGAGCATGAAGATTCAGATGACGATGCCAGTAGTTGATGATCCTTGTGATGCACAGCCTGTAATGGTTCAACATTTCACGATGCTACCGACTACTGAGCGTAGGCCGTAGCCTCTTCGCCAGGTCCCCGGCTCACCATCTCCCGGTTCCTGAAGCTTTCGCGAGTTTGGCGACTTGGAGCTCCAAAAACAGTCTGGTTCTTAGTAGGGAATGGGGGAATGGATCCCTATGATAATCCCTAGTAGTCTCCATAATCCCTTCCCCCATTCCCTACTAAGAACCACACAGAAAAGGGCCAGAGCCGCAGGAATTCCAGGGCTCTAGGATACAGGCTTTAGGGCTTTAGGGCCGGACCTTCGTCGCCGGTGCCACCTCTGCTGCCTTCTCATCCTGGCGCAGCTTGAAACGGAGAGCTGCGTAGCTACAGGCTGCCTGATCGGATCCATCATGGAGCTGACTGCCTACCTACACTGCAAGAGAAGGGTCCCAGGCCTTGCCGTAGCCTCCCCAAATGGACCTGGATGCGACATATCAGCCAGAGTTGCTCGAGCACTTCACGGGCTGACTGAGGCCGCCACTGCAGCGCCCCCATAAGACCACCCCTTGGCGCTCGCAGACATCGGATGCGGTGCTTTCAGGCACAACTCAAGGAAGGTTAGCTTGCAGGACTCCCGAGATCCCGGCACGGGTCGGTTCTGCTTTCGCTTTACTTTTGAAGATCCCTGTCCCATCACAGTTGAGCAATGCTGAGCATCTGATACTCTTTGGCATCAACCCTTGTAACTTGCAACGTCGACCTACAGCCCGGCCTCTTCCACGAAGAGGTCCTCGTGGCTCTTCCCGGGTTTTAGCCGCACCCGAAGCTGGTGTGGTGGAGTAATGTAGGAGGATACCTGGAGAAAGTGAAAGCGGCCCATTCAAAGCAAAGCCGAAGCCGTGTTAAGGTTGAGACCTGATGGGAAAGGACCAGATACTGCACTGTTTTCTGTCAACCGAGATATCTCTCTGCACGGCATCGGAAGCGAAGCCCAAGTTTCGCAGCTCGGCTGTCAAGGCCACGAACTCTTCGGTGCCCATCGCCACAGGAGGCTTCGCCGGATCTACGCCCGCCCGTGCCATAGCCAGGCGCCAGGTTTCAGGAAGGCTCTGAGCAGCCACCCGCTCCGCCACTTCCGTCAGCCGGACTTCCAGCCCTTCGCTGCGTGTCGGGCCCCTCGTGTCCAGGAGCAGCCGCAGCAGCTGATCCAAAGCCGCCGCAGGCACCTCCACGCCCCGATGACTGAGAGGCACCTGGTGCAGCTCCAGGAAGACCACAGCAGAGTCCACGCGCGGGGGCGGTGAGAAAACGTCTGGGGTGAGCACACCGGGGATGGCGAACTGCGCATTTGAGCAGAGTGCCTGCACCAGCGCGGAGACGCGTCCGAACTTCACTGAGCCCGGCTTTGCCAGCAACTTGCGGGCGAATTCGGCTTGCAACATCAAGACAACCCTCTGCATGGGAGGCTCCTGGCACAGCAACTTAGTCACCACAGCAGTCGAGATCTTGTAGGGAAGGTTGCCCACAGCGATACGGCAGCGGCTTGGTACCGCCCGGCAAGTCAAGAAGTCGCCTTTAAAGACGAAGCAGCGGCTCCTGCCGGTCAGGTGGTCTTCCCAGGCCTCACGACGTAGTGTGCGTGCAGCCTCGGGGACGTCCCTGCAAATCGGATGGTATCGACGTATGACACTGCCTTTCTCCAGGGCCTGGGACAAAATTCGCTCGTCCAGCTCAAAGCCCACCACCCCTGCACAGGCCGGGTTCTGCAACAAAGCAGCCGTGAGCGCCCCGGCTCCTACACCAACTTCTGCCACCCAGCTCGCCTCGCCCTCCGCAGCTTTCAGAGCCACCGAGGTGATCTCTAGCGCCACTTTGTGCGACCGGAGGACGTGCTGGCCGAGGGCGGGTGTGGAGCCCGTGGTCAGCATCATTGCAGCCCTTTCTTGTAGAGACCCCGGCACGAAGAGACTTCCGCACTTGGGACACCCAAGGCGGCGCTGGATGTGATCACGGGGCTTCATCCAGAACATCCCGTGCTTTTGGCAACGGATTGCGACCGGAGTGTGATTGTCCTTGTACTGTGAATAAGTATAGTCGAAAAGATTGCCCCAAATCCTTGTACAATCCGCCTTGAACGCTTGCTTCTTGTGACCCGGATGCAATCTCATGCTTCCCGTCAGGGAGGTCGTCGCATAGTCGCCACGTGTAGATGCCCCAAATCTCAAGGCTCCCGGCCCAAAAAGCACCAGCTGAAGCCTTTTTCCCGAATGCCAAAATCTTGGGACCATCCTCAGTCTGAGCGCCCTGTCTCGGGCTTAACGGCTCCAGAGAGCCGGCGCCACCCTCGCAACACCATCGCTTGGGTATCCGGTATCCTCTTTCCGGGTCGCCTACGGCCTTCATGAGGGTAAAGGGCTTCAAAGTGTGAACGACGGGCTGCAGCAGCGGATAAGTAGGAGAGACGTTCTGTCATCTAGGGGATGGGCATGTGAGTACAATGCCCGGGCCAAGGCAATAGATGCAAACGCCGACACCCGGTTGGAGCTTTCGACAGCTGAGGCATGATGGAAGTTGTGGGATACCAGAAGCACTTGATTTCGAAGAGTTGAAAAGAGCGGGTTGTGAATCCACCAAAAACCCTAACGCACGGGCTTGGTAATTAGTTAGGCTAGGGTATTGGGGCGTATTGTAATTAGGATTGGTAACTGGGTAGTGACTGGGTAGTGGATCATCCAGCCTTCTGAACCTTAAAACCCCAAACCCTACCTTTTTAAACATCCCTAAACCCTACATCCCCAAACCCCGAACCGTTCTCTAAACATCCCCGACCTCCCGCCTCGAGGTCCTCGGAGACTGTGAGCTCGAAAGTCTCATTGGAGAGACCCGGCTTGAGCGAGGCCTCGGCAGAGTTCCGGGGGCCCGAAGGGCCTCTAAGCGGTACCGGTAACGGTACCCGTATAGTATTCTTAAAGGTACCCTGATGCTACCCTTATAGGACCCTGAGAAACACCCTAGAAGCATGATCCCACACAGGAGGCACCAATATGCGAAAGAGAAACCACTGCTACAAGTCAAGCCGAGAAAATGTCGATTGCACGGCCGAGGCGGAGGCCTGGTAAAACCCCGGATTTCCTCGGACCTGGCAGTACCCCGGCAATGGGATCTTGTCATTTCGCACCGCAGTCTCGCACTTAGGGAGGGTTAATTTGGAGGGTTTGTGTGTGGCCCAACAAGTTTTGAACAGGCGGAATATGAGACTATAAGAACTAGCTCCAGCAGCTTCACGTCACCAGGCGGCGAGCCTGAAAATAGCCGAGGTTTCCCATCACGATGGTGTCATCCGAAGCCTTCGTCAGGAGCATTGCTGGGAAAGCCGGGAACCGGTGCAGGTAGCTTGAGAGCGATGATGAGAGCCCCACAACCTCTACCCTTCGACAAAGCAGAGCCCCGCCTCTAAAGCCCCAGTGCCGGTGATCTCGAACTGGTCAGGCACGCCGCTTTCACGAAGAACAGCCAGTGTCGACTCGAGGACCCGATTTTATACTCACAAAATATGAATCATGAAGTTGAGATTCTTGCCCTACGTTTATGCCCCCACTTGGGCACGAGTCCCCCCGACCTGCATACCCTTCGCCATGGCAACTGGCCAGCCCTCGTCGCCGAGGATCATTGCCTGGCCCTCCACCTGGCACTCAACACAATGAAACGCATAGAAGCCTTTTCAGTAGCCTTCATAGCACCCTTAAAGCAACCCTTACCAGACCGACCCTTGCGCGGCAGCACGAACGTGTCGGCACCACGTACAGCTGTCGAAGGACGTACCTTCAGCTGCTGAACTTACGTAACAAAACGCGAACTGGCATTGCTCACACCACCCAGTCTGGCGGCGCACGTTGTGTCGCAGTTGCTGCCTGCAAGGCGAAGTCTCCATGATCCGCTGTAGCTTGAGTGCCACGTGACCACGTGTGATCTGCCTCGCTGAAGGACGTCCACCGGACGGAGGTTGTCCATGTCATGCTCGGCCTGCAAGGACGCCACAAGAGCCCGACACGACTGCCTGCTGGCGCCCCGCACCTCCTGAGCGGTCACAAGCCAAGTCGGCAAGACATGGACTGCTGCCGTCAAGGTGTGCCTTGGTCTCTGCATTACAAACTTCGTAATGTCATGTTGTGCTTCTGTAGTACGATCATGAGAAGGAACAATATCAGATGCCGAGAACATGTTCATGCAGGCAAAGCCTTTCCACGTCCGGGGATCGCTATGCTGGAACATGACACAGTTGGCCCATTACCGGCACCACGCTGTGCAAGGAATGAAATTTGAAGCGCAACCTTCTATGCTGTTTTGGGGGTTCCTTATTATCGTAAGTATAGTATAATATATACCAAAACTCTATTATTCTAATTAGTAAGGCACCCTCTCTGCTCAGAACAGGCGCTCTGTGGCCAGCGTGAACTCCGCCCGACCACCACCCACCTCCAGGGATGCCCAGGACTTTTGCAAGCATCCGTGCGGGCGTCTGAAATTCTAGAATATGCAGGAATGTACGTGGCGTTGTGAATCAGTAGGAAATGTACATGTAAAAGTGTTACAACAGTAACTATGCACCAGAAACTACACCCATCACCATCACTAACGTGGTTACCACTGGCCAGCGCATCACCCACTCTACTTCAGGTGGGGCTGAAAGCCTCCGTGCAAGGCACAAAGTGTTTGCTTTTTTTCGAATTTCCTTCGTAAATTTCAGAACGCAAGGTTCGGGTCACCTGATCTTCAAGATGTCAACAGTTGCCCGTCACCACAACAGATCGGAGGCCCCGAGAAAGTCTGCCGCCGAGTGGCCGCGACACCATCCTTCAGCTCAGCGAGGGTGCGGCCATCAGCGAGGTGCTGTGGCCAGCGGACCACCTGAGCTCTGAGCTGCTCCGTTGGTTCAGGGGACTTCAGGGGACCTTGGGAGTCTCCCACAAGTTTGGCCGCTTCTGCTCTGGCGCTCGTAGATTTATCAAGTTAAAAGGAATCTGAATTCAGAAAGCGCTCTTTCAGTAAGGCAAGGGTGCCTCCCGGTAGTAGCGCTTCAAGGGATACTCCGACACCTTCAACACCGGATTGAGAACCAAGTTCACCTCGCGACGAGCGGGATGTAAAGGCAGGCGACTGACGGAGAAAGGGGGCGTTCCTGGCCTCTGCATTGAAGGCCATTCCGAAGAGAGCCAGCGCGGTCGAAGCCGATTGAGCCGTGGTCTCGGATCAACACAGGCAGAGATGAGAGAAGCCCCGGCCACCACCTCCGAGGTCGGGACGCTGAGGGGATCGAGGATGCCGTAGACCCTGCGCTTGCTGTCACAAGAGAGAAGGACAGAGCATGCAATCGGTGGTTGCAGGGTTCTTCGTTGCAGCCCCTCTCTGATAGAGCTTGGGGCCAGGCGTGATCGGTGAGGCAGCGTCTGGTTTCGCTGGCGGGATCTTCACCCTCGGCTTCTCCATCCAAGCTAGGGGTGTGGGAATGTGGCTCACTATAACCAGTTAAGTTGGGTTTCCTGACAGATCGAGAAACTAACAAACACGTCCGCATCTTCAGACACTACGCCTCAACTCCGCCCTCCCGTCGCCGAGGGCAGCTCTGGAAGGCAGCCGGCGCCCTGTTGAAGATCTTGGCAGGCTGCGTAAACCTCCGTTGCGATGGTTTGAGATGCGTTGGGAATGCGAGGGCTGTGGGGAAAACTCGGCTGCTATTCAGCTGGGACCTTGAGTCTTGTGCATAAGCTCTCCAGGCTCGCTCCCTCTCACTGGCACCAATGTAGCTATCTCTAGAATCTTATGGCTTCTTTCGAGACCAAGTTTGGACTGCTTAGCATGCTGCGGGCACCGGTTATCATGCATATGCAACAACTCGACATACCCCTCCAGCCGAAGCAAGTAGTGGAAACAAGCATGGCGCATCCGCGGCAATCGCGGCGGGAAAGTCATGACGAACTTTGGCTGCGGTTCTTTGCAAAGCCAACGGAAAAAAGGATACCGCACGGGCCTGTCGTGCTTCGCGTGCGACAACACCTGCCGTTGGGCACAGGCTCCCAGAGCACGAACACCCAATGACTGTCTAAAGGAAACTCCAAAGAGAGGTATCCGCGACAGTTTCTGGAGCCCCACGGGTCTATGCCACTTAGCAAACCGGACTTTGGCGCCGCCACCCCAAAGATCTGTGTTGATTCGGCCTAGAATCCTCTGCCGCCTCTGCAACCTTCCCTGTGAAACTGATATTGAACTTGCGGTTCTTTGCAGCTCCCACATTCGCGTCTGGAAACCCTGTTGCGGTGGAATAGATATGACTGCGACGAGGCAAAGACTGAGGCTGGCTAATGCGTATCCTGGTGCCGGGTGGCTCTGAGAACCAACGCACTCGCAAAAAAAAAACATGCTGAACCGACCCTAAAACCCCAATTCCTAAACTTCATAAATCTCCAATACCTAAAGAAGCACATAGAGCCTTGGCAGCTTCACACTTACACTTACCTCAGAATTCCCCCCGAAACTCTGAAGCTCCGAGCACCTCGGATCGCAGAGCAGCGACTAACCCATAGGCACTGGCCTCGAGGCACAAGCAATAATCATCAAGTATGTTAGTTATGCTAGCAATAGTAATAACAATAACAACAACAGTACCAATATGACAACAATCCTAATAATCATAATGATAGTTAGTAGAAATACCAATAATGATCTGATGATAGTAATAAGAATGACAAAAAGATTGCCAGAATAGTAGTAGTAGTAGTAGTAGTAGTCGTCGTCGTCGTCGTCGTAGTAGTAGTAGTAGTAGTAGCAGTAGCAGTAGCAGTAGCAGTAGCAGTAGCAGTAGCAGTAGCAGTAGTAGTAGTAGTAGTAGTAGTAGTAGTAGTAGTAGTAGTAGTAGTAGCAATAGTAATAATAG